AAGGTACAAACTGAAAGTGGGCCTGTTGATGAAATGTGTTTGGTTTTTATATTGACTGAAGTCATGTGATCTTAGGTCTTTATAAGAACTGTGTTTGTTCTTTTTACATTAGAGAAGAAGAAAACATTTACTGCACAGACCTCTGATTTTATTTCTTTGTTTTGATTCTTTACAGGAGGAGATCTTGTCAACGACTCAGGATGTAACTCACAGATAGGGTTTGTTTGTGTCAGAGGTCCATAACTGCTCCTTCGTGTCCTGACACGTCTGACATGATGATGTCACAGCCTCACTGCTGATGTCACTTCCAGCAGGATGTCAAGCCTCGATGACATCACTGCTGGATTCTGTTGATAAATATGATTTCATATCACAATAAACATGAATAAATAGATATCCTTAGCAGCAATCAGTCTCACCTGTTTTCCTAATTTCATTCTCACTTTGTGTAATATACTGAAAATAATTTAGTAAAGCCACACACACAGGTTTGTGTAAGTGACACAATATAGAATATAATTTAGAAAATTTAGCAAAAGTCACACATGTACAGGTGTTCACACACACATCTTGTCTTATCACACAAAAGAAATGGACTCCTGCAACATGCAGCTTTTGATAGATTTAGCAGTGAATCAAACTGTGAGACAGATGCTGGTGCATTCAGCCCATCAGACACTCACTGTCACGATCCTGGGTCAGTGACGCAGTGTTTTGTACTTTTACTTTTGATTTTATCATGGATTATGACTGTTTGTGTTTTGGTTTCTGTCCTAGTTTTTCTAGCTCCTGTTAATTCCAGTTCTTTTGGATTCTTCAGGGCCAAGAAAGACACGGCTCAAAAGTCGTCCTTTTACTTTAAAAAAATGATCTTTATTTTACATATCCGGATATGGAAACCTTAACACACGAACACACAAGCTCAGGTCTGAAGCACAAACGGAAGCCTAGTTATTTATATACTTGCTCTCATGTTACACCACACTTTAAGTTTCGATCAAACAGTCTAGTTGGTTTCACTATCGAGCTGCATGCAGTTTCCTGTCAGCACTTTTTGGCACAGAGTGTACTCAGAGTTAGGCCTTTCTCATATGAAGCAATATAATCAGCATATAAACTGATAGGTTTGTAGCATAAACCTATTCGCTGGAACATTAAGGACAATTTGCTACACAGCAAAAAGCAAGACACGAGTCACCAAAGTTCTCTGGGTTACTCATGCATGAGGGAGACCTGCCTGGAGCCAAGTGTCGTTCCACCCACTTGACCTCCGTCAGACTCTCAGCCAGGTTCCCCATAGCACTCCT